GTACGTTGTATTCGGGCAAAGAAGGTAGGGGAAATGGTCCCGAATGCTTGAATATGGTACAAAATATCATAGCTGTATTCGAGGCATCTTTCAGTCTAGATACAGCTATAATGACTGTACGACGTATTCGGGGGACGAAGGTAGGGGACACGGTCCCGACGTTCCGAATGCTTGAATATGGTACAAAAGATTTTGGGAATAGCAACATATTTTTATTATCCCAGGTAAAAACAAAGCTCAGGGGATTTACTGCGGTAATTCCTTGGAAACAGAGAAAAGTCGCCGCAGAATTGATCAGGGGATTTAATTTAATGCTAAAATATCTTCATCGCCCACCTCTTGGTGGGAGATTCAGACCCTCGCTCCAGTACACAACCTTGCACGTGTATCGACGACTAATTGGACCAGATACATTTGAATTGATCCGACAGTTTGAATGTATTGGGACCGGCACGAGATGCAGATACACTTAAAAAAATGTTTTGTAGTGGAGCGACGCCTTTGAATGTATTGGGACCGGCACGAGATGCAGATACATTTAAAAAAATGTTTTGTAGTGGAGCGAGGCCCTCACAATTATGATGGTATATCCACTAAGGAAGTTGGCTAAAGGGCCAGTAAAGGTGGAAAAGCCTTTAGCCAATTGTTTAGTGGATGTATCTTGATTACTAGTTGGACCAGGTACATTTGGATTGATCTGAAAGTGTGAATGTATTGGGACCACCACGAGATGCAGATATACTTAAAAAGCAGTTTTGTAGTGGAGCGAGGCCCTCAGGATCATGATGATATATCCACTAAAGAATTGGCTAAAGGCAGAAATGCCTAGGCCCTACCTTCTTCCCCCCCGAATACAACGTAACATATCTTTCAGTCTAAATACATCTATAGCGACCGTACATTGTATTGGGGGGAAGAAGGTAGGGCCTAGGCATTTCCGCCTTTGGCGAATTCTTTAGTGGATATATCATCATATATATAGTGACCGTACTTTGTATTCGGGGGAGAAGAAGGTAGGGCCTAGGCATTTCCGCCTTTGGCGAATTCTTTAGTGGATATATCATCATATATACAGTGACCGTACATTGTATTCGGGTGAGAAGAAGGTAGGGCCTAGGCATTTCCGCCTTTCGCGAATTCTTTAGTGGATATATCATCATGATGGTGAGGGGCTGTCATCTATAGTGACCGTACGTTGTATTCGGGGGAAGACGGTACGGTCTTAGGCATTTCCACCTTTCGCCAATTCTTTAGTGGGTATATCATCATGATGGCGAGGGCCTCGCTCCACTACAAAG